CAGCAAATACAATATATTACCGATCAATGACGATGAGGCGTTGAACACCGTATTAAGTATCGGTGGAAGTTTCCAACCACCAAATTGTTTGGAAGTGTACATTGATAAAGAGGTTGTACACAATGTCCCGAATATGACACAGATGGAAAGTTCAAATCCGTTCACTACATTGCTGACACATGGGATTGACACGACAGCATTTCAGTCTCCTATGTATGAATCAAATGAATGTTATGCAGTGGGCTACACACAACAGACATTTCAGGGCCATGGTGTAGAATCTAGTTCACATGGTGGATATGAGACTGAATTTCACAATAACATAGAAGACGTGCCCACCTACAGCCATCATACCACTCCAGTTGAAGTTGCTGGTAATATGGCTGAAACGGTGAATTATGTGCAGTTTGCGGACAGTGGCATGTACGGTCCTGATGTCGCCCTAGACAATGATGAGAATGAAATGTGTGATGAAGAAAATTTATTGGGCGGATCAGATGATGATGATGATGAAGATGATGCTGACGCTCCCGTTGACCTTGACAATGCCCCCATTCCACGTAGACCTGAAATCCGTTGCTATGAAAACATCCACATGGGTGGTGATTTTGACATTAGTAACCGCAATGTCGTTCCCTATAACCGAATCTGGAACGCTGAAAATCCAGAGTTGGGCAAAGGGATAGTTTTCGTTGATAAGAAGTAACTCGTACATGCTGTGAAATTGTACCATGCAACAAATAATCGAGAGTATAAAGTCGTAACCTCCAAGCGAGACGTTTGGGTGTGTGCTTGCAAGCACGATTGCAGCTGGTGATTGCGTGCATCTCTTAATAGGAAACATGGTCTTTTTGAAATAAAGCAGTATAGGGGTCCTCACCATTGTTTATACCTACGAATGAACAGGGACCACACTAATATTAGCTCCAGTTACATTGCTTCTCATCTTTTGGGACAAGTTGCGGTGAGTATACAAAATAAATGTTCGCATATGTATACATATTTGTTTGTTTATAGTGTTCACACCAAAATAATCTGACTCATAGGTATTGTCGTATGCAGAATGAACCTGATATGCCAATTAAGAATGTCATCGAAGATATCAAAAAGACCATGAACTATAGTATATCATACAAGAAGGCGTGGCATGCAAGGGCAAAGGCAATTAGAATGGTATTCGGGGATTGGGATGAGTCATATAGGATGTTGCCTAACTTCATGCATGCATTACAAACATCTAATCCTGGCACCATCGTGCAATGGAAGCATAGATATACCGGAGGTACAACCATTATGCCCGTCTTCCACTTTGTTTTTTGGTCTTTCAAACCCGTCATCGATGGATTCAGACATTGTAGGCCTGTTATAACCATAGATGGTACATTCTTATACGGGAAATACACTGGTGTGTTGCTTGTAGCAACGATTGTCACCGCCAATGGCAAAGTACTACCGCTTGCATTTGCTGTTGTCGACAAGGAGAGTTTGGAGTCTTGGTCGTTCTTCATTTCAAATATCAAGGAACATATTGTCATGGACCGACAGGGAGTGACTTTGATATCCGATCGAGCTGAGAGTATTTTAGCTGCTGTGAGGCGGCATTGGTTGAATCCCTCGCTCCAATTTGTTGGATATCATCGGCACTACCTTCGAAATGTTTGTAGTAATTTTAACACTAGGTTCAAAAATAAGGAGCTCAAACAACTTCTATGGAAAGCAGGAAGTGCTGATCAACAACGAAAGTGTAATGGTTACTTGCCACCAATTGGTTCACAAGATGAATCCTGTGGAGTGGGCCTTTCGTATGACGGTGGATATCGGTGGGGGTATTGACCAGCAATGATGCTGAGTGCTTCAATAGGTCTTGAACGGTGCAAGGAACTTACCTATCTCAGCTATGGTTGAATTTACATTTCGGCGGCTCATAAAATATTTTGACGAAATGGGAGCCAAGCTGAAATGATGTACGAATGAGTTCCAATACCCTAGAGGATGCAAAAAACTATTGAGGATGGCATCGCAAGGGAAAATACTTTCAAGTTGATATCGTATGACAGGTTAGTTTGTAATATAACTAAATTGTTGTTATTATGTTGTGAAGTTAAGTACACCTAAAAACATGAACTTGATTAGTTTTATATTACAATTTTCTGGTCACGCCGCGTATTTGAGGTGCAAACATCTTTTCGCCATGGACGAGGTCGCAATACACAATTGAGGACCCCTTGTTTTGCTACAAGATTGTGCGGATGAATCAACCCACGTGCAGTTGTGGGAAATATGAGATACGACATTATCCATGTTCTCATATGCTCGCTGTAATGTCTGAATGCGGTGACAATCCATTCGAGTACGTTGATCTAGTATATAGGCTTCCTGTATACATGAGGGTTTGGGAAACTAAATTCAATCCAATACCGCATCAAGATTATTGGGATGATCCGTGGTGGACCTTAATGCCTAATGTACTTCGTCTGCAAGAAGTAAAACGGGGTCGTACATCTATGTCTCGTATTCCGAATGAGATGTATATATCAGATAGGCGTTTGACCACTCGTTGCAGTGAGTGCCAGCAAACAGGTCATGACAAGCGAACATGTCCGGCGCAACTTGGTCGATGAAGACTATGTAATACTTACATATTGTAATAGATCATTTTTTAATTCTTTATTTGTAATAGATCATTTAATTCTTCATTTTGTAATTCATTATTTATAAACGGGGTCGTACATTTAAATAGATTACTTTTTATTTGTAATAGATCTTTCATTTTTTTAATTCTTTATATATTGTAATTGTTTGATTTCCTTGACAAAATTTACAACTAACATACTAAACAAATAAATTAAACTAAATACGTATGCAAAAATATTTAACTATACCACATAGGCCTATGTTTTTTATTCTCTACTTGATTGAAAATGTCTATTACAAAATTTTAGTGAAAATCACATAGTTCTTCTACCATTTTAAGATTTTATTATTTCGACTGCTGCAAGCATTTTTTACATTTACAATTTATGAATCAGATCTACGTAATTTACAAATTTTATACATTATTGGAACTTTTACCATTACAAAATCAATAATGAAGTTTTGTCAAATATGCCATAAATGTAATTAGCCACCTCTTATTGAAAAAAAAATTCTCATTCAATTTTTTCGCAAATATTTATGTACGAAAACTAGCCACATGTTACTGGTCATTATTAAGCTTATGTAACTGAGACCCTAAAATGATTTTGTAAAAGATTTCTATATTAGTTATAGCATAGATAACGATAGGTTCTATTGAATTGCCTATCATATTTAATGGCACATAAATTGATAAATTTAGATTTTAGTGAATTGCTTCCATGTTAGTGGCACACAAATTGATAATTTTAAAATAATCGACCACATTTGTTTTTCAACTCGTCATGTATGGAATAATTTGAGTTTAATTGTTATAGTTAAATTACATGCTCACCAATACAGTTTTTTTAAATGTATTTGTTTTTCAACTATACAAGCTTCATGGCACATCTACCTGATGAGGTCCCACTTTTTAGTCATCCACATCGGGTTGACAATATATGGGAGGATCCGATATGCAATAACGTTTGTTGGACTTTACGCTTACAATGAAAATACCCTGCATTTTGTTTTATATTACGTGATAATGCTATAATTTAAACTTCTCATTCTGTTATGCAGGATGAGGCACGCACTGTGGTGACATGCCGGCGGGGAGATTCCGGCTTGTGGGAGCGTCCATTGGACCATAGAGTCTTGCAGTGTCTACTACGCGTGGGATTCTATGGTGTCTATCGTATAGGCCATATTAGACTGGACCACCCACTCATCACTGCTCTCGTGGAGAGGTGGCGCACAGAGACTCATACATTTCATTTCCCGATCGGGGAGGCCACCGTCACATTGCAGGACTTATCTGTCCTATACGGTCTACGGATTGATGGGCGAGCAGTTACTGGACCTGACCCACCATTGACGAGGGACCAGTGGATAGCCCTATGTGCTGAGCTATTGGGAGTAGCACCTACACCTGTAGACTTACAGGCAGGTAAAGTGAGGGTGAGGTAGCTGTCCGAGCAGTTTCAAGGCCATCTTCCAGATCATGCTCCAGATGAGTTAGTACAGCAGCATGCACGAGCATATATTATGTGGCTTATTGGGGGGGTACCTCTCCCTGATAAGTCACAGAACCTGCTCAAGCTGATGTACTTGCCACTGTTGAGAGACATTGACGTGATCGGCTAGTGCAGCTGGGGCGCCGCGGCTTTACCATGCTTGTATAGGATGCTATGTCGAGCAGCTCAAGTGGGTGCGAAGGAGATCGGAGGACCCCTTGTCTTGCTACAGGTTAGTAAGAATTTTATTACATGTCAATTCATATTGTATGGCATATATCAGTATTGTAATTGCGTTCAAACTATTGCAGATTTGGGCGTGGGAGAGATTGATTCGCATTGGCCCGTCTAGGCGGCAACTGGTTGCTCCTGGTGAGGTTCCCATCGGCCAGGGAGACATGCAGTTGCCAGCCGGACCTCGAGGTAGCCGGTGGAGGGTTGACATGGGCCATGAGGTCATATCGACCCACGTAGTCATCGTGTATAGACACTACCAGAAATTAAGGTTTTAAAGACAAATTTTTAGAGACAAAAATAATTCGTTTGTAAAAATTATACTTTTAGAGACAAAATGAAAGAATTTAAAAATAAAATAAAATAATCATATTATTATATTTTTAAGATAAAATTATTTGATTGCAAAAGAGTTAATGACTTTTTGCCTACAATTTTGATTCGTCCCCAACAAACTCAACTCATACACTATTTTATTTTATTTTCATTCTTTCAATTTCAATAGTCGGGACTTCATTTCCTTCTCCACACCAATCTCTCACTCTCACTCTCACTCTCACTCTCTCTTTATCGAAGCCCTAATTTCATTGTTCTCGGTGGTTTTTTTATTTCAATCCCTCTCTCTTGCGATCAAATCCCTGATGGTTGTGAGCACAAACTGATCGTAGTGTTCTTCTGATCTCGTTGATTTCAACAATTAAGGGATAACATAGCATCTCTCTCCACTGTGATTTCAGCATCCAGGTTCGATCGATTAATCGATTTTAGTCTCATTGATTTGGTTTTTGATTTCAGCATCCAGTGTGATTAATCGATTTATTGGTGCAGTGTTTTTGTTGATGATGTATTATCATAATATGATTCATTTTAAATTCGTATTTGTGAGTGTTAGATTTGGTAATTGTGGATATGAAATAGCCGTAATTGTGGAGAGAGAGACAAATGCAAAATTTATATTTGTGAGTGTTTGATTCGTTTTGCATTTGTCACAAAATTTATATTTGTGAGTGTTTGATTCGTTTTGCATTTGTCACAAAATTTATATTTGTGAGTGTTTGATTCGTTTTGCATTTGTCACAAAATTTATATTTGTGAGTGTTTGATTCGTTTTGCATTTGTCACAAAATTTATATTTGTGAGTGTTTGATTCGTTTTGCATTTGTCACAAAATTTATATTTGTGAGTGTTTGATTCGTTTTGCATTTGTCACAAAATTTATATTTGTGAGTGTTTGATTCAAAATTACTTCATTTTGAAAGTAATATTGAATTCCTGATTTGTCTTTTAGTCTTAATCATAATAATTCAACGGCTCTGTTTGGTTGAGCAGTTTTCAAAATCTGTTTAGTTTGGTGAAAACAAAAACTATCTTATAATAGCATGTATTATCTTATTTGCCATAATTTTCTCAGCTGAAGTTTAAATGACTATACTGAGTCATTGATCCTGTTTGTGTGACGGTTGTCTATCTTTCCACAGGAAGGATGACAAACCCCATTAACTCTACCAATTCCTCTTTGCATATATTTATACAAAGGCTAAAGTTAGTGTTGATGTCTCACTTTTTAGATTTTTTAAAAAATATCCCAATAGTAATTACACGAGTAGTTATGCCATTAAAATTTTTTTTTTTTTTCAAACCTCTTAACTGTTAGTCTTTTTAATTCATAAAATGTATCAATTTTCAAATTTTGATAATTCAATCATACGTTTCAAAATCTTATTTCTCTGGAAAAAAAAATTGATCATGTGCAAACTAATGTGCGTGCCATCACATAATATTTTATCTACTGTTTTATTGAGAGATTAATTTAATAGTCAATTGTTCATTTTCAACTGTTGAGCCTCTGAAGAAGCTAAGACATCCTGTTGTTGCTTTATTTCTAATCCTGGGTCAGTTGGGAGTAGATCACTGAATATTTGAATATTGAGGTTTATATGTTGTTATATTTTTATTTGCATATGGTGGTTGCCCTGGCAAAATCTTTCATCTTTATTCCATTTCTCTACACATATTTCACAATTCCAATCTTGTCCTCTACTTCTAGGCATGATCTGTTGTTATCTTCTGATAAAGAATTCCAGCTATTGCTTGTTTTTGACTTTTTTTTTAATATTTTTTTTATGAACTTTTGTATCATGAAACTCATTTGCTATTGAGTTTGAGGATCAACATTTTGAGGGCTAAATGTGCACTTTCTTATTCATGGGGTAGCTTATTTCGTTGCCTCATAACTCTGAACATCATTAAAGCTTTAGCAATAATCATTAGTTAATTTGGATCTATTTTATTACCTAGATATTTAATTGGAGTCTGAAATTTTCAATTTTATTTATTTTTAAGCTTCAGGCAATCAAGGATGGTAGAGAGAACTCATATGTATTGTATATTGTATAAGCTCAAAGGCCTATTTATGAAGTTCTTAAAACTTTTTGTAGTATCAATGTGTGAATTATTGTTTTAGGTTCTTTTGGTAAAATATCTGCTAAATTGAACAGGCTAGGGAAGAAGCAAGATACGTGTTTTGCAAGTAGATTAAAATGGATTTTGATTAAAAATGAGGATGTGAGAGAACAGTGAAAACTGTATGTGAAAGAAAGTTCTACAATATCCTATTTTGTGGAGAATGGAGCCGTAGTTGTATTGCAGAGGCATTAGGCACATCATCATAATCAGCTCAAATTAATTAAGGCAGTGTTACTAGAAAACGTTAACACCCTGGAGATCTATGTTTTGGAATGGACATTTTGAAACATAGTAAACTTCCGTTCCAAAATGGTGAATTTAGCATTTAAACCGATCCCAAAAAATTTCCCCATTTCTTTCCTTAGGAGGATAAAATCCAAATGTAAGGGTGGAGTTTTGGTAGTTCTTGGTTACTGTTGGTTGGTAATTTCCTTACTCCACTCTGTTCTTGTTGGTTGATTGTCCTTGCGTTTTGTTTTTTTCCCTTCACATCTGCTGGTTGTTCTCCATATCATGGCTAAGCCAAAACATGATGTGAAATCTTTCATAACTAAGGATGATGAGTTCCCCAAGTCTATTACCACTAAGAAATTGAATGGTCTGAATTATCTAGCTTGGGCTCATACCTTTGAGATTTCCTTGCGTGGCAAGAAGAAGTCGCATTTTCTTACTGACCTTCCACCTGCTGAGGATGATAAAGGTTATGATGATTGATTGAGTACTCATATCATAGGTATTTTAATCCAGCTCCAACAACTAACTCTCCCGGTGCTCCGGGGAAGAGTGTGTCGTGTAGAAACAGTATTGCATAGCGAGATTAATGCAAAACAACCTATAATTTTGTTTAATCTAAGAATACCCATAATATTGAAGACTTAGAATAAGAAACTCTCCCTGAAATTTTAATAATCCAAATTACATTGATTTGCCTTGAGGCTTACAACTAATTTATAGTACGCATGTCCTAACCTAACTAGGAAATAATAAATTAGGCTAATTCCTCATAATACTTGGAATTAAGCAGAAAAACATAAAATTACCAAAAATATAAATTTTGAGTTAGAAACATGCCAAAACAAACAACACAAAAAAATGTAAACTCGTAGACAAAGTAATTGGTAAAACAAAATTTAAAAAATAGTTAATTTGTAGAATCGAAAGCCTAAACGATGGAATTTGGCCAAAAAGAAAGTGTTTTTGATCATTGGGCTGTATTCAATAAAAACATGGGCCTTTCGATTTAATTCATGACAGCATCGGCCCAAGCTCATAATCACTGGTATGCCATTTCACTGGTCCAATTCCTACAATTATGCTGCACAACCACCTGGTCTACATCACTCATGTATTTATAAATTTCAAGCTCAAATTCTTTTATTTAAAATATATCTATCCAAATGTAGCCTTAATAGCATCTCTTCTACTCCTAGGTATAGAATGTTGTTGGCTGTTAGCTCACAAATGAGGTTATCTTTGGGAGGTTAATGGATGGATTTCTTAATATGCTTGCTCAAATAATCATATTACTTCCACAATGCTCTCTCTGTCTGTTAGTTCACTTCTGCTCATGTTGCAGGAAACTTCCATTGGACTTTGGAAGATGTTTCCAAATCAATTGTTTACATAATGTCTAGCCCATGCCAAGCTGGCTATACACAGGTACAATTCTCATGAATGGAAATTAGTATGTGTTCCTGATAGAATGACTAAATTTGTGTCCTCTCCACCTTTCTAGATGCTCAATGATTGGTATGATAGAGAGATTGATGCTATTAATGAACCTTATCGTCCTATTCCTTCAGGGGAAATATCTGAGAATGAGGTATGGAATGTGATTAATTATTTTTTTTATATGCGAATGAGCACCAGAATTCATGTATTTTCAAATTTTTTTTTTTTTTTTTGGAAAAAGGAAACAAGTCTTTTAAAATTCTTTCCCTCAGGTGATTACCCAAATCTGGGTACTGCTTTTGGGAGGCCTTGGGTTGGCTGGTTTATTGGATGCGTGGGTAAGTCTTATTTATTAATAGGTGGCCAGTGATCTATTTTTCTTCTCATAAAGTATTTAAAATGAATGTCAGTCCCTGAATGGTTGTCATGTATAGGCAGGGCAGGGTAGGGCATTGCTTTAGGTAGATCCTTTCAGCTCAACCTTTGAAGGTAATACCCAATATCCCTTTCATTTTAATGCATTCTTGTACTATATTATTCATTATAGTCTTCAATTGGCAACGGGCTGTGAATATTCCCAGAAAATAATTAGTCAAATATCAGCTATGTCATGCCTTCTTTTCCCTAATATCCTCATTCATCTATCAGACCTCACTGGGGATTTTTTACTGGTTCTAATCTGTAATTTCAGGCTAGTACCTAACCATTTCTTATACTATGCCTTTTGGTGACTGCTCTAGCAACTAGCCATTGGATGAACAACTGTTGCCTAATAGTTCTATATTTTACCGAAGCTTTATCCATTTCATGTTGCCTAGCACAAGTTCAAGCTACAATCTTGTTTTTTCTTTTTCTTTTCTTGAATATTTATCTAGAGAACAACAGAGGTTAGACATAGTCTTAGGCTCTATTTTTAGATCATGAATTTAGATTGAGAGAAAGTCAGAAAGCCCTTGCAAGAAAGATGCATTAAACTTGAAAGTCAGTTTTGTGAAAGGTTGCCTCACAAACTATCACTGAAACTCATTAAGAAAATCTCAAAAATTCTTGCTACCAAAGGTTCCAAATTTTCAAAAGCCTAAGAAGATGAGGACTCATTTTGATGTTTAGGTTGTGGTCTCAAAAATCTTGGGCCGATATTGGTGAGCCGTGGTTTTGTTGGTGGGGTTGGAGTTTTAACAGATCCGATCTGAAGCCGATCCATTTACAGGCCTAGTCTATACTGGTGGTTGTCATGGATGTGAGTGTACATTTAAGTATATGGGTGTGTTATTTTGCAGGAGATGATGTGCAACTAATGACAAGGAGGCAAATGCAATAGTCTTTATAATATAAATTAGTTTGTAGGTGGGGTTGGAGTTTTAACAGATCCGATCCGAAGCCGATCCATTTACAGGCCTAGTCTATACTGGTGGTTGTCATGGATGTGAGTATACATTTAAGTATATGGGTGTGTTATTTTGCAGGAGATGATGTGCAACTAATGACAAGGAGGCAAATGCAATAGTCTTTATATTATAAATTAGAGTGCTTTTGAACTGCAATATGGGTTGATTGGCTATAATAGAAACAATTACCAACTTCAATGAATATTTATGCACATCATCATTAAAAGTGATTTTCTCTTCAGAATTAGATTACTGTTTTTTAAATAAATTTATACCCATAAACATCTCGGGTTTTAAGAAACTGTGCATTTCTGCATTGTCCTCTGATAATTGAATGAACATGTTTATGAAAGTGTATAGGACCCTACAGATCTGCATTTCTTATTGATAGCATTTTTGTGGTAAAAATTGTAGTCTCTGTTTTGACCGTGGATTGAATGAACATGTCTATGTTGTTGGTCGATTCTAGGTAACTCCACTAACAAGACCGGGCATGCAAGTCTAGTGAGCATCAAGTAGCACAGCAGGTGACTGCTTGTGCGCATTCTACCACATTAACAGCACACCTACAATGGTGGATTGATACGTATACTGAAATTTTCAAGAACCCTCTACCCTTATAGCAGTGTGAGTTCCAATGCTAACGCTTGTTAACTCTGTACAGTGAGTTTAATTTTTTGACCATAGATTGTTATATTATAATTTGACTGGTATATGATTTGCCTATGGTTTGTGTTTATTGCTTTTCAGTTATCAGCAGTTTGATCTTGTGATATTTAAGGAGTGATGGGGTTTTTTGTTTTTTTGGTAAGAAGAGTGGTTAAATGTTTAATTGTTAGTAATTGCTTTTTGTGCCTAACACAACGTTGAATTTTAGTTTAATCTTTGTTAACTTTTGAATATTGATAGTGAATTTTGGACGGCTTTGTGTACTAAGATTTATGTGTGATTGTTGCAGATACTACAATTGGCACATTAAATTGCAATCTATTAAATTAATCTGTCATTGGATAATTTTTAATTGGTAATCTATTTGAGAGTTTGGCCTATTCTATGCAAGTTCTACAAGCTTGTGTCGATTTGAAACTTGCGAGCTCTCTGCTAGATTTTGAATGCCATTTCAATGAAGTCCTTGAGAAGAAGATGCAATGAGTTTAGTTGTTTTGTTATGTAGATAGATATAACTCCAATTACAATCTGTTCATTGAATAGTTGAATGTTACAAACAATGCTTATGACACTAGCCTTATAAATTGGAAATGATACTTTTGAAATCTCTGTCAGTTTATGGTATACAATCAAGATATTACATACTAATGAATCAGAGCATGGTATTTTTTTGTTATTGAAATATCTTTTGATTAAGCTTCTTTGAATGTGATGAGCATTTTTTTTTTCGTGTAGTTGAATTTTAATTTGGAGATGAACAGATAGTCTGGTGATATGTATGATATTTTTTGTTTGGTTGTTGAGAAATCAAGAAAGGAATATAAGTTGATGTTCATACTAGTATTTTTAGAGTAATTGTTACAAAAAAATAAATAAATAAATAAATAAAATAAAAAATATCAAACTTTTAGAGACCAATTTTAGTTGTCTCAAAAAAATTATAACCTTTACACACCACTTTCATTTGTTCCAAAAACTAAAACTTTTGGAGGCCACTTTCATTTGTCCCAAAAACTAAACTTTTAGAGACCAATTTTTATTGTCTCAAAAATTAATTTTTGTATGGATTATAATTAGACTTTTAGAGACAAATTTTGGTGGTCTCAAAATCAAAACTTTTTGCAACCACATATTTTTGTCTCTAAAAGTCTATTTATAGTGACAAATGCAAAATTTTGTCTCTAAAAGTCTATTTATAGTGACAAATGTAAAATTTTGTTTCTAAAAGTCATTTTTTGACTTTTCCGGATGGGCCATTTGAGACAAACTTCGCAACGGAGAAAATTGGTTGGCAAAAGTTTTTCCCAACAAATATTACACTTTTAGGGACGGAATAAATTTGTCTCTAAAAAGCTAATTTTTAGTAGTGAGAGACCAGCTGGACCGGATGATAGAGGGCGAGGTATGAAATTTAAATACCTAAATTTTAATTGTCATATGGAGTGTATATGTTCATGAGCGATTTTTAATAGACTTGTCGTTATTGTAGTTTATCTGGCAGCCTTATGTTGGGGTCCTCAGTACGCTCCCAAACTATTGCCGACTAGGTGAGGAGATATGGATGGTGAGAGTGCCACTCATTTGTTTTGACGTGGTTGAGTGGCATCTCCCCGATCGTGTCCTCTGACAATTTGGTCGGGTCCAGTCCGTGCCAGATCAGTGCGACACCGAGTGGCGGTTGCATGCGACTGATAGACATGGCCGAGCCGGCACTGACTGGAGTGTGTATCATATGCGATACATACAGCTATGGGATGCCCGTCGCGACAGTATTGTACAGGCTGACTGGAGCGATGGCGTCCTCCCCTCTCCCGACCCTTACATGTTGTGGTATCAGCGACATACACACCTACTAGTTGGTAATCCGAGCCACCTGTCTGAGTCCGGATATCAGGGAGTTGGGCTTTCTCTCGAGGCATTGGTGAGTATCATAGTATGTGTCAAATAATTGTTAATATCATAATTGATTTACTTTCAGTCAATTATAGCCTAATATGTCTGATTTTTTGTTCAGGTGGTTCGAGCTGGGAGGTCATATCACTTGGCTGAGGACGCCATTTTCAGACGTGATGGACAGCATGCGATGCAGGCCCTTGCAGAGATCCGAGAGTTATTGTACGAGGGGATCCAGCATGCCTATCGGGTAGATCATCTGCATTTTGGCCACTACGGTGTACACAGTGCAGCAGCTGCTCCAGACACATCAGTCCCATCCACGTTAGTGCCTTCCACTTCAGCGCCAGCCACAGCAGGTCCTTGGACTTCAGTCACCCCACCGCATGGTACCCCATACATTTCTCCAGATTCACCACACGTACATCCTACCCAGCATGCTGACCCTGATTGGACATCGCCCCGATACATGCATGACGTTGTTACCTCACCCACCCAGTTACCACCTGCTTTTCTGGGGACTACTTCGACCGCGCCTATGAGTACACATGATGCAGTTCTCACTGACATCTCCCACGTTGAGAATGAGGCCCATATTAAGCCCCTCCCAGAGCGCGAGGGAGAGGCCGAGGTTATGGTCGTGGGGGACGTCGTGGCCGAGGTCGAGGTGCGGGCAGAGGCAGAGGTCGAGGTCCAGCTGCAGATCGTGATACAGTTGCACCAGATGAGGGAGTTTCACAGCTTACAGCAGTATCTGATGTTCAGGCAGAGACAGGATCAGGGGCAGCACATGCAGGAGAGGAGGGGTCACACTCACAGGCTCCACAGGTAGTTAGTGGAGGGCCACATGCAGGGGAGGGAGTGCCAGATATTCAGAGAGTCTACCGCAGGAGACCGAGGAGGGAGGTCCACAGTCGGGGTTGTGGGACTGGGGCCAGGTTCGGGCATTAGCGGGTGTGATATGGACTATATAGTTTTTTTTATTTGTAGTAATTGTTATAGTTTTTGTAAATCAAACTTGTACAGATGATGTAAATGTGTCATACTTATTTATTCGAAATTAAAATTTCACAATTTTTTATTCTTACTTGTTTTGATGAATCACACAAATCTCTTTCACATCTCTATATCTCTCTCATTCTCCGTAGTCTTTGCATTATTTATAGTAATTTACGTTTGTTCCTCAAATTTACAAATTGAGACAACCATTTATAAACCAAAAAAATTATCGAACAAATTGAGACAACCATTTATAAAATTGAAGTTCAAATAAATTTTAAGAATTAAACTATAAATCCTAAACCCTAAAATAAAAATAAATAAGGTAGCGTTTGGTAACGTTTACGTTTTTAGTTTATGTTTACAAAAAAATTAAAAACTGGTTTTTGTTTATTTTTAGAAAAACATAAATTACAAACGCGTTTTGACTTATCAAAAGATTTTTAGGCTATGTATGGTTAGATTTTTAGAATTTTCAAAAAAATTAATTGAAAAAAAATTTAATTGGGAAAAAAAATATTTGAAAAAAATTTAAGTGAAATAAAAGATTAATTGAAAAAAAAAATTAATAGAAAAAAAAAATTATTTGAAAATATTGGTCTTAATTTCATATAGTTGATTATTATTTGCTATTATAAATTTTATTATTATTATATATATATATATATTTAATATTGGTCTTCATTTTATAAAATAAAATTTATATATATTAAAAATTATATTGGTTTGGTGTGTGTGTGTGGGATGAGTGTTTGTGTGTCAGAGAGAGAGAGAGAGACGGAGAAGAGAAGACTGAGTGCGTAGAGTGAGTGCATGGAGTGGTTGGTATTAAAAGCGTTATTCAAAATAACAATAACGGAGAGAAAGCAAAGGTATTTGTTATTTGTAGAATTACAAGAACTTTTCAAAAACAATTGAAAGATCTCCCTTCATTGATAAGTCGTGGATAAGCATTACAAATCCATTACAAACATAAATGGTTTGGTCATTCATCCAAACAATTTCATTCATTATCATCATCATCTGACATCTCAATATCAGATTCATACATAACATCCATGCTCCAGGCGAAGTACTGGTGTGCATCCATTAACTCATCTTCGGTACGCTCATTTGCGGTTTTCATTAGTGAGGACCTTTGCAAACGTTGGGTCATGCGATTAACTTCGTCGTGGATACGATGCAATGCCCTTTGCAACAACTGTGGAGTGTCAGTTGGCATATGCATGGCTAACCAGCGAGGAAATTTAATATTAACTTCACGACATAACTCAACAAGAACGCTTGCTCGAGTTATGCGAAATTCCCACTCAGCTCTCATGGTATTGACGATGGCACGTGAGTAACACAAATTTGGATTTAATGGGTATTGAAATTCATCTCCATCTGCAACCCAATAGCGACCCATTGCTGAATATAGATCAACCACCGTATATCTCATGATGATATCGCTCGAAATAGCTGTAAAACTTTTGTTGCGGTATGATGCGATATTTATACCATATATACACATGGTAGCTATATGTATGAAATTATTGTATGCATCAGAGTTGTCACGTCAACTTTTATCACCTGAACAACTATCCATCAACTTGATAGGAGTTGTCACTTCGACTTTTATTTACTACTCAGTGCATAGCTGAAGGTTTTAAGCAAAGTTCAAATCCGCTTGGAAATTTAATTTAATTTTTCCGCTTACAAATATAATTCAATATATTTTGCCTTGACAACATATTTAATTTCATTTTTTACCTATTATATTTCATTTAATTTAATTGGAGAAATTTGACTAATTTAATTTGAAGTTAATTATGTGTTGATTTAAGTCGGTGTTGTTCTTGTCTGTAACACTTCCACAGTAAGTATGGTACGATAATAAATTGTAGCTCGGCGCAGTGATACGTCCAACATTTCTCAGTGATGCTCGCCAGTGACTTGAACAGACGTAATAATTTGGATGCTTTGTTTTTTCCTCAGATGCTATGTGACTTTGTGCAGCGATGCAGTGATGCATGTGACTTTGTGCAATGATACAGTGATGCATGTGAGTTTGTGTAGTGATGCAGTGATGCATGTCACTTTATGCAGTGATGCAGTAATGCATGCGACTTTCTGACTTTGCCATGCTTGTATACTTTGTGACCTTTTTCCTCGCAATACGTGATGCATGTGCCTTCGTGCAGCGCAACTTACATGCTTTGTTTTTTCCTCACATTTCAGAATTCATCTAAGTCACAATAATACGACCACATGGCAATAGTGTTGATAAACAATTATGTGATGGACTAAA